AAGAACCGGAGTCCGGGCGCCAAACGTGCGGCCATCGCAGCGCTCATACCATCGCCGGTGCGACACATGAAACTGTTGAACGAAAACGGGTTGACTGACGAACAGAGACAAGTGATGTGTGCCGTAGTTCACGGCCGGAACGTGTTCTTCACGGGCAGCGCCGGCACCGGGAAGTCGTTTCTGTTGCGGTTTGTTATCTCACGTCTGGCGCCGGACACCACTTGCGTGACGGCCAGCACTGGGATCGCCGCCTCCCATATCGGAAGCATGACTTTGCATATTTATACGGGTCTGACGCCCGACCAGAGCCGCAACGGCAGTGCTGAAGAGTGCGCGCAGACACTGATGGCCAACGCATCCAAACTGAAGCGATGGCGTAAATGCAAATGCTTTGTCATCGACGGGATATCGATAGTTTGCGGCAAATATTTCCAATTAGTCGATAGTGTGGCCAAAATTGTCCGCAATTGCGACCAACCCTTCGGCGGCATTCAAGTGGTCGTCTGCGGAGACTTTCTTCAGTTACCGCCCATCACTCGCAGGGATGAGGAGAAGTGTTTCGCTTTTCAGAGCGCGTCTTGGGATCAATGCATTACCAATTCGTTTGAATTAAGTCACGTCAAGAGACAAACCGACAAAACGTTTATTAAATTATTGCAAAACATTCGGATCGGAAATTGCGACCAATCGATGACCACTCAAATACTCAACACTTACAACAATCATCTCAACTGCAAGGACTTGTGTCCCACACGACTCTTCACACATCGCAATGATGTCGACCTCATTAACACCAAACAGTTGAATAGCATTGACAGCAAAGCCGTCGTGTTTACCGCCGAAGACAGATATCATTTTATTAATTAAAAAATAATTAGACATTTTGTTCATAAAATCATATATTTAATTATTTAATGTTTTTTAGATTTAAATTTGTTTTAATCTATATATTAAATGTAATAATTATTGTCAATAATGAGTACAGTTAAATTGCAATTTTACATATTTGTATTTAATGATTAACAAATAATAAATGAAAAAATATATAATTAATACAAAATGATTTATTTAAATCAAACATTCATAATCTTAAATATAAAATGCAATACTTATATAAAGAGGGAATGCAGTCACATATCGGACTCTGATATTACAATTGTAATTAACACAGTATTTTAAGCAATTATTTATAAAATATGATCTATACTTCTGACATGTTTTCTGAAATGACATTTCATTTTTCTGCATATATTTCACAATTAAAAGAGAAGAGATCTGAAGTATAATGATATAAATTAATACAATTAATAATTGTAGTTTACCCTAAATTTATAAATACATTCAAACAGAATAATTATTATCGACATTAATATAAGGAATGTTTAGAAACGAATAAAATTATATTCCATTTGGTATTTCATATACAATATAATAATTAACTGTAAATTGAATTCAAATAATAAATTAAAGATAAAACAAATTAACAAAAGACGCGAACAATTGAATACAATTACAAATTGAATTTGTTTTGAGAGTTGTGTATAGACTTAGAGGTAATAATCAACAAAAAAAGTGATAAAACAAATCAAATTCATTGGATATCAAATTGTTTGAGATGTTTGTCGTAATGATTGACAAACTCTGTTAAATCAGTGATTAATTGTTGATTCTTTTGAAATAGAATTTTGTTTTCGATGATAAGATTTTTGTTTTCGGTGTTAAGAAGTTTGTTTTCATTTTCAAACATTTCTTTTGCAGATTTCAATGAATCTTTATCTTCATTTAGAGACCGAATTTCTGACTCTAATCGTTGATTTTCGGCAATCAAATCATCGATTCTTTTGCGATCTTTTGCCCAATAGTTAAGGATTAGATGTGGGTTAAAGCAAAGATGACCGCCGTCCCTAAGCTTCGACGTTAACCACGAAAACAATTCCCAGTATTGCTATAATAAAATTAAAATACAAATTTATATACAGGGTGTCCCACATATCACACTGAAAGCACCAATTCTCGTTCGATCACCAAAGTTAAGCAGAGTTGTCATATTTATTAAACGTTATGAAAACAAAACAAACATTTCCACGTATTATTATCAATCTGTAAACAATATTAATAATTGAAAACACTAGAAAACAATTATTCAAATAACTCTTACAGGCACTTTGCTTAGTTCTTCGAGTTGTGTTACATCTCCAGGATGGCATTTAATATGATACCATCTGAAGCATTGTGAGCACTCAATCCATTTCACATCCAATCCAGATTCGTCCGTAAAGCATCGGACACACATGTGCTTTGTGATGTCTTTAATAGTAAACATAGGTTCATTACTATTTGTGGAATCTTTCAATACTGGGCGTCGTTTTGTCATATTTTCGCCCCAAATTGAACCTCGTTTTTGTCTCAACTCATTGTCTTAATGTAAAAAATGCAATATAATTAAACATTATTATCACGATAGTAAACATAGCTTTGTTACTCAATTTTAAATAATTATTATAAATAAATAATAACCTGGAATTGGTTGACAGATTGTGACTGATTGTGGTTTTGGGGCAAATTGTTCATTAAGTTTTGCAATAAACATATTAGCCATTGGATACTGATCATCAATTGACTCAATTCGTTCGAAATTTTTGAGATTTGGACATAAATCTCGCCATTGAGAGTCTTTGAAAGGATATAAGTTTGACGTTTCAAACAAAACATCACTCATGGCTAAAGGATTTAATGGGTGAATTCCAGTCATTTGAAACCCCTTTTGAAGACAGCGCTTAAATATGGGTTGCGAGGTCTCCCAAAGAATGCGAAGCATATCAACTGTTTTGGCTTTTCCAGTTAATGTACCTGGAATACGATGCTCGTGAACAATCGTATTCCATATTGCCTTTAATGGACCGAAAACATTCACATCAAGAGGTTGGATAAGATTAGTGAGATTTGATGGCAAACGCAACAAAGTTATATTATAACTTTTCGCTAATTCAAGAGAATTGATATTGAAATGACTGGCGTGTCCGTCTAAGATCAATATCAGAGGTCCTGTGTAGCCCTCAGGGCGTAGTGCGTGAGATGAAGGAATGAACTCATCATTTAACCAATTGGTGAATAAGTCATTATTGATATATCCAGAATCAGAGAACTTTACAATTAACAAATAATTAATATTTAATTTATCGTAAAACAATAATATTTTAATAAAATTATTTCAAATGTACCGCATATGTCGCTGAACTCCAATGCCTCCAATTGTTGTCCATATGAGTGCTGCGAAATATGATCAATGGCTGTAACATATGGCCAGCAGAATTTCCACAAACAAGAAGTGAAGTCGACGAGTATTTGTTCGCATCGGTATACAGTGTTACAGGTCTGCCACGTTCGGCGATTATTTTGCCTGAACCATGTGTTGAAATGTTTGTTTCGTCGGCGTTGTAGAGAATTGCATCACAATGTTTTTCAAATAAGTCTTTGTCTAAATTGTCGACAGTAACCCAGTGTTGTTTGCATACATTGAGTTCAACTTTGCATTAAATAATAATAAAGTTATTACTGGAATTTATTTGCTAAAAATTTTATTAACCTGATAAAACATTTTCAATGAAATCAGTGATGGCAAGTGGTTTGCACGCCTTTAGATGGCCGTAATCTTTTCTGTTTGGCGTCCGATGGTTGATGTCTTTTCCGTACTTTTCAACGAAACGTTGAAGAAAACTTTTGGAGTTAAATGTAGACAATTCTGGACGATATTTGTCTACATATTCTTGCATCAAACTGTAACATATTAAATGATAATTAACTTCATATTATATCACTTGATATTATCAAATAAATATTTACCCTCTAACTTGTTTCGACATTAATCCAAAACCCATTCGCGATTGAATTTTAATCAATGCTAATAAAGTGTGCTCTTCATCATCGGAGAAATATCGAGGCTGTCCTTGATTTTCAACAGATTCTAATGACTTTACGCCATTAAGTCGATCTCTGAATGATTGAACCCCTACTCCAAAAAGATTAGCAATCTTTTCAGGGATAAATCTTCGCCCATTTGTGTCAAACTTTCGATTGCCATCACTATCTACGCATTCATTAAACCAATGATTGACTGCATCAGTCATTTTCTGTTTCTTTAAATTCTTTCGAATCTCTCTTTCTTTCTATTGTGATAAACAATCAAAAAATTAATAATTGAATGAACAATTAGGTACACTGATTGTATTTTATCACTTTATATCACAATACTTATATTCACCCTGTTTACAAACAACTCACACACAGCGATGCTATACGTTAACCACAATTCGGGAAATGCATTAAAGATTTTAAATTTTTCAATACTATTGTTGGAATACTTTTACTATTATTATTTTGATAATTTTAATTGTTTTTGACAACAATTTGTTCTATTTATTATGATAGATTAATTTATAATCCCATTGTCTGATTGATATACCTAAACTTGTGATGATACTCATATACTTATCATTGTCATAGACTTATCATTGCCATAGACTTAGCATTACCAATAGACTCAAGAATTCCAAATTAAAGTATAGCCATAGACTTAAGCTGTAATCCCATGTTAATTCTCATAGAGCGGGGGTGGGGGCCGGGGGAGGGGCCGAAGGATCCTATAAACCACATTATTCATATGGAATTGTGGTTAAAAATTCTGATATTAGTCTCAAGTCATATTTTATTCCAAACAATTTGGTATATAGTTTGTCAAAATAAGTTATGAACTATTGTGGTATATATGTGGTACACACTGTATATAATATTATTATTACAATTAATGTTGAATTGAATTAAATTGCTTAAAAAATCTATCTCATTAATTCTGTGGGAAAAAATTCGAAGGGGGGTAGTGCAAAATGCTATTTTAATTTTGTAATTTTTAATTTTAATCAATTTAATAAATTATAAATTTTTCAAAGTTTCAATTTTATTTTAATACCTTTTTATGATTAGCCATGATTTGATTGGCAACACTAACACAATCTCCGATTGTTGTTTAGTTCATTGAGATTATATCGGGAGTTGTAATCACACGAAGAGTTTGGAGACCAGTTGTATAAATGTTGCGGCAATTGATAGCAAAAGGCACTCAAATGTCTTCGCGTGAAGTTTGTCTCACCCTTTGATTTTTGGGACACAATTCATATGACATGAGGTTAGGTATGATTGAGTGGACACGTGTTGACACTTACGATACAAGCGATGCCTTCGATGGGCCGACAATTGAGGTCCAGTTGTTGTCCGTAAACACAAGAGTAGTTGACTTTGCATTCAATGCAGTTATCATTCAATTCATGACAATTGCCATTCAATTGATCGGAAACTTTCTTCTCTGGCTTTGAATCTTTTGAATCAATTGTTTGTTGAGTTTTAGTCAATGAAACCAATGATAGGGTTATATATTGTTATAATTAATTAACGTTTGATTCACACAAAATCGATTAATTTTTAATTAAATTTCAAATAAATCACAAATTTATTTAATTAAGCAAAACCTAATTAAGATTCAAAGCGGACCCTCTTTTTGGGCGGCAAATCATGAAAACGTTTGGTGTCGACAACCGGTCTATCATTAAAATTAATCTCAATATATGCACAAAATTATAAATTAATTATAATTGTTATAAAGTGTTTAAAAAGTTAATCACACGACACGTGCTCTCAATGACAGACACACACACACACACACATCAAATATAATGTGTAAAAACTTTTGTTTTTTGCAATGCATTACAGTTTTGATTATAAATGCTATCCATTTGTACTCATTATTGACACTAATTATTACATTTAATAAATAGATTAAAACAATATTTAAGTCTAAAAAACATTAAATAAATAAATATATGATTTTATGTACAAAATGTCTAATTAATTTTTACTTTATTAAATATTCAATAGATTTTAATCCAAAGACATCATTAAACAATATATAGCTGTCATCACAATAAAAGGCGATTCTTGTGTTTACTTTAATTGATATGGATTTCGATAAATTGGTACTCGAGTTGTAAAAGCCGTGAACAATATCACCAATTGTTGGACAATAGTTGGTTTTTTCGGGACAATGAGGCGCTCCTCGAGACCACTGGCCATCTGTCAAGCATTTAGAAAAAACTCTGGTTTTAGGACTTGTGTCGCACGAGAATATGATTACATCTCCGGGTTTATAAGAGTTGCCACTTTTGGATCGCGACGGAAGGATTCGGAGACCAGTGTGCGGACGGATCGGTGACTCGCACGTCACCACAAGACACTCGAGGGATGTCTCGTTCATGTGTTGTAAATCACTCCAAGAGTCGTCTTGTCTGCAATACCTGATTGCGTTCAATGCGTTTAGTTTGAAGCCCGGCTGACACACGTACTCGAGCTTACTGTCCGTCTTTCTCTCGACATCGCTGTAGACAATGCGTCCGTTCGCAACACTTTCCACTTCAGGACACCTTTTCTCTAACAAACAATACATTATACAAACTATTGTCCAAATAGTGTTCACATTTAACGTACTCTGACAGTTAGGTTTGGGTCGATTCCAGTGGCCGTCAGCCTTACACGTCATAAACGGCACACCAATCATACGAAAGCCATCTTTGCATCCATAGGTTGTAAAGGAAGTGAGCGGTGATTCTTCGGGTGGCGTCGTCCACATGTCCCGGATCTGAACACTTGACAGCTATTGCATCAACAGATCAACAGTTGTATTCAATTAGTATAACAATTCTAATAACAATTATGTCATACATTGACACATGAGATCAATTGGTTGCCAACGAGAGCTCATCACACCATTGGGTCCATCGGTGACCACGCATTGTGTCTCTTCATTGCCGGAGACCTTCTCGTATCCGACATCACATGAATAGATGGCAATCTCTCCCACTTTAAACACATTGTGTTTCTGGTTTCGCATCAGATTTGAGACGGCGTTCACCACAACTGGTG